ATATATGAGGCAAAAGTAAAACTGATGGAATTCAATTCTAGGTCACTCTTCCGAGACCAAGGCTGCTAGCTCTCTTCTCTTCACCTTTCAGAGTCTTCTTATGTTTGTTTTATACATAATGTCAAGGGTTTTTAATTGTGTTTGTGAGGAGAAATAGGGAAAGGTACATTTGCTCCCTCTTTGCAGAAGCCCTTTTAAAAACGTGTTTTGTGATACATTTTTAGAGCCATAAATATCATACCCCACTAATCTTTTACAAAGAATCTAAGATTTTATCTTTAGGAAATCATCAGAAATAAGAAAAAGTCATGAATTTGTAAATGATTTAGTGACCAAAGTATGGAGAAACATTAAATAATTTTTAAAAATTTTTATATTTTTTCTTTTTGATTATAGCTGACATACAACATTGTATTAGTTTCAGGTGTATAACACAGTGATTAGATATTTGTCTACCTTATGAAGTGATCACCCAGAAGCCTAGTACCCATCTGACACCATACATAGTTACTACAATACTACTGGCTGTACTCCCCATGATAGACTCTACATCCCCATGACTAATTTTTACCTCTTAATCCCCTACCCGCTTCATACATCCTCTTACAAAATGTTCTCTGTATCTATGAGTTTGTTTCATGTTTGTTTGTTTATCCTTTTCTCTGGATTCCACATAAAAGTGAATTCATATGACATTATTCTTTCTCTGACTTACTCCACAAAGCACAATACCCTCTAGGTACATCCATGTTGCTGTAGATGGCAAGATTTCATTCTTTCTTACGATTGAATAATATTCCATTATGTGTGTGTGTGTGTGTGTGTGTGTGTGTGTGTGTGTGTGTGTGTACCACCTCTTCTTTATCCATTTATCCATTGACAGGCACCCGGCATGCCTTCGTATCTTGGCTGTTGTAAATAATGCTGTAATGAACATGTGGATGCACGTGTCTCTTTGAAATAGTGTTTTAGGTTTCTTTGGATAAATATCCAGAAGTGGGATTCCTGGGTCCTTGTCTCTTGTTATAGTCTTTGTTTTTAAAATCTGTTTTGTCTGTTAGTAGTATTGCTACCCCAGCTTTTTTTGTTCGTTTGTTTCCATTTTCATGAAATATCTTTTTTCATCCCTTTAAGTCTGTGTGTGTCTTTTGATCTAAAGTCAGTCTCTTGTAGACAGGATATGTCAGGGTCTTGTTTTCTTATCTATTCATCCATGTCTTTTGATTGGCGCATTTACTTCATTTACATTTAAAGTAATTGTTGCTAGACATATAGTTAATGCCATTTTATTATTCATATTTTTTATTTTTTTCTTCTCCTTAAAGAAGTCTCTTTAATATTTCTTGTAATACTGGTTTGGTAGTGATGAACTCTTAGCTTTTCTTGTCTGGGAAGCTTTTTATCTGTTCTTCGATTCTAAATGATAGCTTTTCTGGGTACAGTAATCTCGGTTATAGGTCCTTGCTTTTCATCATTTTGAATATTTCATGCCAATCCCTTCTGGCCTGCAAAGTTTCAGTTGAGAAATCAGTTCGCAGTCTTATGGGAACTTCCTTGTAGGTAACTAACTGCGCAGTCTTATGGGAGCTTCCTTGTAGGTAAGTAACTGCTTGTAGGTAACTAACTGCTTTTTTCTTTTCAGAATTGGAAGTCTCCCTTTATCTTTAACCTTTGGCATTTTAATTATGATGTGCCTTGGTGTGGGCCTCTTTGGATCCTTGGTTTTGGGGATACAAACCATCTCTGCAAGAGAGTCTTCATTCTTAATGAAGCACTTTTCTTTCTGGTCACCATTTTAACTTATTAGCTAACTGAATCACAGCTTTCCTTTGTTCAGACAAGTTAAATCTTTGCTGAAACAAAATTATTTGATTCGCTACCTATAGTGTGTGAACTGTTTACATCTCATTGGTAATCATGGTAGCACAGAATAGATCATGACCTACTTTTAAAGTAACCAAAACAGAATCCTTTAAATCAAAACGGAACTGGACCACCAGTAAGCAACAGAAATGATGGGACTGATAGCACTGTCCACAGGCTATGGTGAGGCACATTAGAATATTGAAGTATAATTACAATTATGATTACAATCATAATTGTAATTATACTTCAACATGACCATATGATTGCATCTAAGTTCCGAGGGTTATGAATATTGTGTAAATGTTGGATAACATATTTTATAGTTACATATGTATTTTGATTTTGCCCATTTGAAATTCCATCTTTTGTTCTAGTCAATTTTTAAAGCTCATGTACTTTGTTTACCAAATAGGAGTTATTCCCTTGATCGGGTTGCCACTATGTACATAATTTGGAAAAGGGCTAGAGAGATCTTCCAGAGACAGAGAAGAAAGAACATCTGCCCTCTGAGTGGCCATGTTTTAGTGATGATCACAGCCTATTCAGAGTGCCCTGTTTTTTGCTGGGCTTGACAGGCTAGGGTGGCTGTTTCTCAGGGTTATGTTCTGCTCACCTATTTCAGTTCTCTTTTGACTCATAACTCAGGCAAAGAAGAACTATGAGCAGAAATGCCGAGACAAAGACGATGCAGAGCAGGCTGTCCACCGAAGTGCCAACCTCGTAAACCCAAAGCAACAAGAAAAGGTACCTGGGAGGGCTGACCTGAAAAATCTGAGATTTACTATATTGAGCTAAAGCCAGTTATTAATAATCTTAATTTAAAATGGACCTGTCCCCTGAGCTCCTGGCAATATCTTCCTTTAGGCTGTTAGGATTCTCTAAACCAGAAAAACCCTTGTCACATTTTGGGGGTTGTGGAAGAGCTAGAGGAAGGAGGCCATGGGGGAGGGAAGGAGGTGATAGAAGTAGGGGAGAAGGTTTTGATTTTATTTTTCATCTTTCTTCAAAACTCAACTTATATATTCTTTGTAGCCAGGCTGCCTCCTGCTTGGGTGTATTATAAACTTAATTTTATAAAATCCAGATATAAAGGCGTCAGCAAACAAAAGGCAGGGGTATGTTTTTAGGAAGACATAGGGCAAGATGCTTGATGGATATTTTCCAAAGGTGATAAAATTAGAGGGCAAGTTGAACGGTTTGCTTTTGAGTGCAACATAGGGAAGACTTGGACTAGCACTCATCTCTTCACACTCACTGTTTTTAGATCTGTTCTGCCAACTGAATCCTGGCCCAGCATTCCTGATCTCTTGTTCTTTTTTGTCCTCACAGCTTTTTGTGAAACTAGCAACTTCAAAGACAGCAGCAGAGGACTCGGGTGAGGGACGGCTCCCAGGGATGGGGAGGATTGTGGTAGGGTTTGCATTATCCTAAATCTGTCTGAGAAAGGTAGTTTTATATACCTTACAATGAAGAACGTATGGATATACAGTAGGATTAATCAGAAGGGAGAACCAGGGAGGAAGGACGGGAAGGAGAGAAAGGAACAAATGAGGCAGCAGTTCCTGGCCACTGCTTGCTTAGTGTTACTGCTTTTTACATGTAGTCGCATGGTGGCGGTGGTGGGGTCGTGTGGCAGCTACTTTGTAATGAAGTGCTCACTCTGATTTATTGGGAACATCTACCTGAAAAGCTCATTTCAGCCCTGATATCTCTTATCCACTGTGAAAGAAACAGCCAAGTTGCGAGGACTCGTCATCGCTGAAATCTAAGATCCAAATCCAAGGTGTCTAATTCCCAGAATATCTGGCAGGAAATAAGCCTTTCATGGCCCGAGTCATTTAAGACGTCTCTAACCCCCAAACTAAAATAATTTGGTGCCCCTTTAGGGCTTAAGGTAGTTCTCTTTTTCTGCATTCCTCATTCGATGATTTCCTGAAAATGAAAAGAGGTGGAAGCTATTGAGGCCACATTAGACAAGGAAAACTCTGGTTGAGGTTCTTTGTCTGCTTTCACTTCCCCTCTTGGATCATTTCTTGCTAATTGCTTGGTTCTGTGCTAATTTCCCAAAGATATGAGAGTGAGAGGTGTGATTCTGGCCTTCCAAATTTCTGAGCTCCGTGGAACCTTGTGAGCTCACCGCCATTCGGATGAGCCTGAGGGGTGTCTGCGAGTGCCCTCCCGTCTAGTTTCTGAACCCAGGCCCCTCCCTTCCATTGCAGACAAGGCGTACATGCTGCATGTCAATATGCTGGATAAGGTCCGAGAAGAGTGGCAGAGCGAGCACATCAAGGCCTGTGAGGTAACTGGAAGCTGCTTAGGAGGGGGCGGGTCTTCATCCTAGAACTTGTAGAATCTACTTTTGTAGAAATATTCCACTCCCTTATTATGCCCCGCCCCCATCCCCAATTCTGATAAACTACTTGAGAGAAGATTAGAAATCAGGAATTTAAGTGGAGAATGAAAGGAACTATAATGTTTTCCCCCAAACCTCATCTTTCTGCCTCCTTCCTCTCCTGACCATGCTGTCCACTTCTGTTCAAGGTCTTCCTCTGATATTGAGTTAGTGGGGTTATTGAGTTATTGGCTCCCCCCTTCTCTGATCTCCTACCCTGATGAGACAGATGAATCAATTAATGGTTAATTAAGTAATTACCTTTCAGGAGGCTCACATGTACTTGTGACGTAACCTGGAAACTTCCTCAAATTTCTGTCACCCTATCTATACATCTTATCAGTGGTTCTCTAAGTGAGGTTCCAGGAACTGTAGCATCAGCATTGCCTGGGAACTTGTCAGAGATTCAAATTCTCAGACCAATTCCAGACCTACTGAATCAGGAACTCTGGAGTGAGCCCAGTAACCTCTTTGATAATAAGCCCTCCAGGTGATTCTGATGCAATTTCAAGCATGAGAACCACTGATCTACACACCCCACTCCCCTCCCTCCTTTCCTCCTGTTGCAATAGAAATTGTGCTGTTCCCTCCCTATCAGGATTTTCTCCCACCACCTGGGCTCAGGATCCCACCCATCTGGCTTTCCCCGACTGCCTTATGCACAGCTCCATTTAACGTGAACTGCTATTATTTACACACACTCAGCTCATTCCTGGCTTTAAAACTTACCCACAACAAGCTGTTGCTTCCCATCTCATACCCTCTCCTCTCTTCATGGCCAGGCTTCTCGAAGGAGCCGTCTCCACATCCTCATTGCTCCTGCCTGTCCCGGCCTGCTGTGTCTGGGGTTTGCTCCCATGTAGCTGCTCTCTTTGAGAAAGCAGTGATTTTCTTGGTGTGAGGTCCAGCAAGCCTTTGCAGTTTCTAATCTTATTTGACCTGTCTTTACCGTCTGATACTGTGGGTTACTATCCCCCTTCTAAAACACTCATTTCTGCTTTACTTCCTTTACCTTACACTCTCATAGAAAAGCCTGGAATAATGCCATTTTTATGAGGTTTAGGAACATACAAAGCAATATGATATACCTCTAATGGAAGGATACATATTATACAAATCTGCATGGGAATGATAAAATTTAAGATAATGGTTATCTGTGGGAAGGAGGAAGGTGATGGAGACTGGGGAAAAGCACACAGGGATTTAACAGAATCTGGAGCAATTACGGCCAAAATTTTTGACAAAGCTAGGTCATTGGTACATGGAATTTATTATATTGCTCTCATGATTCTGTCTATGAAATACTCCATAATAAAAATAATGTAATTTTTGTATACAATGTATAGTATATAAATACTAAAATTTACAGGTGAAATAATGTCTTTGTTTCAAAATATTTCAGGGAGTAGATGAGTTGGTAGGGGTGTAGGTAAAACAGAATCGGTTGTGAGTTGGTAAATGTTTATACTATTCTGTCTATTCTTGTATATGTTTGAAGTTTTACATTATAAAATGTTTTAAAATGTAATAGTGTTACATCTAATATTTTAAAAATATGCTAACATATAACATTCACTGTTGAATAGAATAGCATTCACTTTGTAGAATAGCTTGATTTTCCAAAAAAAAAAATATTTGGATATTTATTAATGTTTAAAAAACTATTGTTTAGGCAGTGACTTAAAACTTTTTTATTAAGGAAAATTTCAAACATACACAACAATAGAAGACAAGTACAAGGACCCCCATATATTCTTCAACTAGCTACAATTATGACCATCTTGCCAATTGAAGTCATTCATTGGTGTACGTGTGTTGGGGGGTGGGATGGTCAACCTTTTGATTCTGAGGCTCTGTTTGGCTGCTTAGTCAGAGGTGCCCCTCAGGGATCTGGAAATGGGAGCTGAAATTCATAACCTATTACCTTTCAGAGTTATTCAATTCAGTTTATGTTAATACCATATTAGAATCCATTTGCATTCTTTGCTTGCTCTAAGAGTTTATTATGAGTTTTCTCAGTGGTGAGGGGAGTACCCTAAATAGGACAATAAGCTTACTGATAATTGAGGGTTGACATTGTTTCTTACGTCATAGCCAGTCTAGAAAAGTGACCCCTTTCTCTGCACGTGTATTTACATGTAGTTATGTTTCTGTAGGTGTTGGAGGCTCAAGAATGTGAACGAATAAACTTCTTTCGGAACGCATTGTGGTTACACATGAATCATCTGTCGAAACAATGTGTCAAAAGTGATGATGTAAGTCACAGAGGCATCCATGGAGAGTTCATTAGCTCATACCCCTCATTTGAGGCCCAGAGAGGTACAGCAACTTGCCCAGGGCTACACAGTGAGTTGGTGGAAGGACCCAGATAGACACCTAACATAAGAGACGCCTGACTCTTGGTCTACTTTGCTGTCTTGATTTTCTTTTTAAGAAATTCAGAGTCAGGGCAGGAGATCAGAGAAAGGGGACCCAAATCTAGTTTAATTTGTGGAAGACAGAGAAGTCACAACATGAATGTACTAGTAGCCTGACCCATGCCCAGGTAATGGTCACTCCAGGGCTCAGGATTTGCTTCAGTGGCATTCCTTGGGCCATTATCCAGGTTTAACTTGTGTACAGCCATCCTCATGGGGTTCCCAGGTCTCAGAGGGACCAGAATCAAGTCAGCACAGCCTTCTTTGCTAAGAAATAGCCACCCTTACTTCGGTGAGACATTTACTTTAGAATAACAATTGAACACACAAAAAGCCTGTAGGATTGAATGGAAGAAGTTATCTCCAAGTTAAGTAATTGTCTTTGTGTTTGTGCGTGGCATTGGTCTTGTGTCATAGGACTTGGTATCTCTATTCTTTATCCTATAAGTATTAAAAAAAAACAAAAAAACAAAAAACCAAACAAATTCCAAAACAAAATTTAGAAATGAGTCAGCCTTTCATCAAGCCACCTGTTTTAATAAGCTGTGCCACAATTTTGATGGACATCCCTCTTCTTTTTGTTAGATGTATGAAGAAGTTCGTAAGAGTTTAGAAATGTGCAGCATCGAGAAAGACATTGAGTACTTTGTGAATCAACGAAAAACTGGACAGACTCCACCAGGTGAATAGAGCAGTAGGGTCGGGAGTTTGTTTAAGCAATTCTATTAGTTTTTTTTGTCACGTGTCATTGAGAATGGAAGACATCTGCCTCTTTACATTTTGTTTCTTGATGATTTCTCTAGCACCCATCATGTATGAAAATTTCTACTGCCCCCAGAAGAATGCAGCCCCACCAGGAAAGGCTACAGGGCCTAACTTGGCAAGGTAATAACCAGCTTCCTTTCACATGAGGAAAAATACTATTTTTTTAGTCTTTTTGTTCCCCCAGCTTTATTGAAATATAATAGACAATTAGTTGCTCGTTTACATTATACGATTCAATCAGTTTTTCAATTATAGTCGGCATATAATAATATATTAGTTTCAGTTGTATAGCATATTGATTAAAGATCTATATAACTCATGAATTGGTCACCCCACTAAATCAGGTACCCCTCTGCCTCCTTAGATATTTTTTACAACACTTTTGACTGTTTTACTTATGTTACACTTTATATCTCTGAGACTACTTTGTATCTATCCATTTGTACTTCTTAATCCCTTTGCCCTTTTTTACCATCCCCCCCAACCCCTCCTCCCATCTAGCAGCCCTCAAAATATTCTCTGTATCTATGAGTTTGTTTCTGTTTTTGTTGTTGTTGTTGTTTATTTTGTTCTTTAGATTCCACATGTACATGAAATCATGAGATATTTGTCTTTCTATACCCAACCCATTTCATTCAGCACAATACCCTCTAGGTAATATCTTTTTCCATCCCGTTCCTTTTAGTTTCTGTGTGTCTTTTAATCTGAAGTGAGTCCCTTGTAGGCAGCATATGTAGGGGTCTTGTTTTCTTATCCATTCCGCCAC